GAGGGGAGTTGGGGGTGCGGTGAAGCCTTGGAGGAAAGGTACGTGAGTGAGAAGACTTGACCGCAGACAGTTATGTGATGATTCTCGGGGTTTCTTTTCCCCTAAAATGCAACAGCAATTTTATTAAGAATACTGTTATTGACAATTATACAGACTCAGCCAATGCCTGTGGCTGCTAATGTCCTATTGTAATTAATATAATCCAATGCAGGAGAGACTGATCCTGATCACCTAGGCACCACCACACTGTGTAGACTGACCTTTCATTCACCTCCAATTTGACTCCTGTGTCCCCAGCTCGGGATTTGCTGAGCATCTCCTGTTGAAAACAAGCAGGGTATCTCAATACATCATGGGTACGGAGCACTCACTGGCATCCTGAAGCACCTTGTGTCCAACACCCCATGGTAGCTGAGAAACCCAAATCCAGAAATGCCCATCCACGTCCTGGTGGGTTGGGAAAAGAGCCCAGACCTCCGATCTAGTCAGCGAGAAGCAGCCCCGGCAGGCTGGCTCTCCTGTCCGTTGAGTGTCCGTCTTGACTTTCTGGCACCCAGGCCGACGTGCACAGAACTCTGAGATGTTGCACCTGCCAGAGGGGGCAGCGGCTAGGGGCAAACCAAGGTGGGCAGCCTGCAGCCTTCCACCAAAGGAACAATATGTGACCCTTCCAATGGTGCCCACTCAGCTTTTCCCCGACACAATCGGAACTGTTGGCGCGCGCCTGGCACGAAGATAAATGTGCATTATCTCATTTAACTCTTCCAACGCCCCTCTGAGGCGAGCACTATTATCACTGCCATCATCTAGAAACGGAATCTGAGCGAGGCTAATGGAACAACCTGTCACAAGTCACACGACGAACAAGCGGTCCAGCTGGAACCGTAACGCAGGATGGCCTCACACCGAAGGAGGTGAGGACCTTCTCCTTTTCTATGCCTCAGGAAGCCTGGGGAGTTTGGGTTGGGGTTGGTCTTACAGGGGCCATCTGTGGCCTGGATGGACAACTGGGACACGTCCCATGGGCAATGTCACACCTGAGGAAGCTGCAAGAGCCTGGCTTTAGGAGACGGGCAGACGCTTCCATACCTCTATCCTGGCCGTGGCAGTTTCAATGGCAGCTGACGTGGCAGCCATCTCCTTGTCCACCAGGTCCCCCAGCTCCTCCTGCTTGATGTCCAGGCCTCTGGGCAGGAGCTCCTGCGAACGGCAGCACGGAGGCTGAAATGACCCTTTGACTTCCTCTCCATTCCTCCCCGACAGACCCATAGTCCTCACATGGTGGCAGAAGGTAGGAGAGGAAGGTCCCACTACGCAACACGCTTGTAGAACCCAGGGAGGGGCATCCTGGCCAGGCCTCATCTAGAACTCGCTACTGCGTAAACCCTCACGCTCCACACCCCCCTTTCGCTGAAAACCCCCCCTCCTTCCAGAAAGCCACCCTGCCTAACCCCACAAGGCCATTCAGTTGCGACTGCTTGGACCCTGACCCCACAGCTGCACAGTGTTGATTGTATTTGAGGCTTGGGAGGTATGTCAAAAACCTCTTCAAATGTGGGTGATGCCTTCCAACCAACACTCTGCCTCTTATTTAACTCTGTGTCTACAGCAATCATGAGGCAGTGACTCGTCCTGTTCTACGGATGGGAAGCCAAGGCTCAGAGAGGTCTTGACCACAGTCACACTGCTAATGAATGGCAGAGCAGGGATCCGAACTCAGGTCTGATGGCAAAGTCCGTGAATTCTGAAAATATTATGTGTTATGCCTCCAAGAGTATAAAACAGGTATGAATGGTTTAAAGAATAAGAAACGGGGTGCCTGGATGGCTCAGGTGGTTAAGCGTCCAACTTTGGCTCAGGTCATGATCTCATGGTTCGTGGGTTCGAGCCCCGTGTCAGGCACTGTGCTGACAGCTCAGAGCCTGAAGCCTGCTTCAGGTTCTGGGTCTCCCTCTCTCTCTCTGCCCCTCGTCCACTCATGCTCTCTCTCTCTGTCTCTCTCTGTCTCTCTCAAAAATAAATAAACATAAAAAAAAAGAATAAGAACAATGACCCATGTATCTACCACCCGACCTAAGGAATAGCTTAAGAAACATCAGTATCTTTGAAATTTCCTTTGTATCCTGTTCTAATTCCACTTCCTGACATCCCTATTCCCTACCTTAAGATAAACACAGAATTCAGGAGAATGCTTTATCATATCCTTTTATTATTATTAATGCTTATTTATTTTTGAGAGAGAGACAGAGTACAAGCGGGGAGGGACAGAGAGATGGAGACACGAAATCTGAAGCAGGTTCCAGGCTCTGAGCTGTCAGCTCAGAGCCCGATGCAGGACTCAAACTCACAAACCATGAGATCATGACCTGAGCCAAAACTGGATGCTCAACTAACTGAGCTACACAGGTGTCCCTGTCATGTCTTTTTTTTAAAGCTCCATAAGAATGTATCCTTAAACAGTATAATGTTAAGTATGCATATATTGGTCTTTATTTAAAAGGAATCCTACCGTATGTATTTTGCTTGTTCGTTCGGCATTGTGTGTGAGATTTGTTCTATAATGTAGGAATTATTATTTTTTTAAGTTTATTTATTTATTTTGAGAGAGACAGAGAGACAGAGAGACAGAGCAAGTGGGGTAGGGGAAGAGAGAAGGAAAGAGGGAGAATCCTAAGCAGGCTCTGTGCTGTCGGCACAGAGCCTGACATGGGGCTCAACCTAATGAAACTGTGAGATTGTGACCTGAGCCAAAACCAAGAGTCAAGATGCTTAGCCGACTGAGCCACCCAGCTGCCCCTGTAATGTAGTCATTCTATCCCTAGGCAAATGCACTAGAGAAACTCTTACATCAGGAGATATTTACACAAGTGACCATATGGCACATTTGTGACAGCCTCAAACCGGAAAGAACCCAAATGTTCATCAACCATAGACATCTAGCTATGTGACAGATAGATAAATAAATATAAACAGATATGTAATAGATATATAATTTGAGCTATAGTCACATGACAGAATATTACAGAGCAGTGAAAATGAATGTATCTGTACGGATGAACCTCACACACAGAATGCTGGAAAAAGCAAGGTGTAGGAGAAAAGTCTGTAACACTTAGAACTAAAAATGTTACTTGGGGGAGAAAAGGACATAGTCTTTCTATTGTCTTCATCTGGAACCCTGACTAATCATTCTACCTATAACTTCTGTACTCTAGTTTATAAAATCTGTGCCACATTCTATATAATTCCTTCAGTTCTATCATCCAGCCCACTAATTCTTTCTCTAGCTTTGTTTAACCTGCTGTTGAATCTGTATACTGAGTTCTGACTTTCAATGATTATATTTTTCATTTCTAGAAGTCCCATGGTTGTTTATCAAATATATCTGGTGACTTTTGAAAATGTCTTATTCCTTTGTCACGCTTTTAATGCCTTTTAAAAAGTACTTGGAGTCACCTCAGTCGGTCAAGTGTCTGACTTCGGCTCAGGTCATAATCTCACGCTGTCAGCTCAGAGCCCGCTTGGGATTCTCTCTCCCTCTCTCTCTGCCCCTCTCCTGCTCATGCTCTCTCTCTCTCAAAACTAAATAAATAAACTTAAAAAAGAAAACGTTCTGGAACATGTCAAAGACACTCATGGTGAACTGATGTGCGTTGGGACTCTGTGAAAGTTCTTTGGGATTTAGGTTCAAAGTATATTCCTTCAGAGACCACTTGGATCTGCTTCCACCAGGTACTTGGGCTCCTAAAAACCTGACTACTTTACATTTAATTTTCTTTCTTTTTTTTTTTAAATTAAAAAAAAAATTTTTTTTAATTTATTTTTGAGAGACAGAGCATGAACGGGGAGGGGCAGAGAGAGTGGGAGACACAGAAGCCAAAGCAGGTTCCAGCCTCAAACTCACAAACTGCGAGATCATGACCTGAGATGAAGTCAGACACGTAACCGACGTGTAAAAGGCGCCCTATATTTGATTTTCTGTTTGGGTTTTTTCAGGTAACACAGGTAGTAGGAGATTTGGACCCTGAAACCATAGAAAGGTGGCTTGTAGTCAGAAATTCCCTAGGCAGCCGTGTTTCCTTCTCCCCCTACAACTGAGGTTGAGACAAGATCTCTCCAACAGAGTAGGCTTTCCCCCCCACTTACTTGGGGTGTGACCTTTTGGAGTTCTGCTTTGGGGAGGAAGTCTCTGCATTCCAAACTTTTACCTTACTCGGGCTTACGTTTTGTTTTTCAGTCTCCTCTGTATGTGTGGCCCATTAGAATCCAAGCTCTAGGTCAAGAGATGGACAAACACCAGTTCCTGCGTCCTCTTGGTTTCTGATTCTGAGAATTTCCTTAGTTTTTGGCCAGTTCAGATTCAATTAACATCCCCCCCGCCCCCCCACCAAATTTTATTTAGCTTTTTCCATGTCTTGTGCTGGGAAGAGCTTCTAAATATTTAGTCAGTCTTACCGCCAGAAAGGAAACCTGCCCAGGATCTTGCTCTCACACTTTGCTTTTTTAAATTAACTCGATTCTTATTTCCTCACCTCACGGTGTCCTACAGGCTTTTGTGTGTGTATACTGACACTGAGTTCTGCACAGCACGGGAGAAGATGCTCTGTCTCCAGCAAAAGGCAGACGGTGGCAATGCTCTTGGCCGCCATCAGGAATTTAATAATACTAAAATACCACCAGGATCATGTCATTCTATTGAAAGAAGGGTTAGCAATTCACCTTTATCCAGTCTTCCTTCATCTAGACCTTCACGGATCCCTACCTCGTCGTCCCACTTCTCCCCAGTATGAACCTTCCTCTCTATCCGATCTTTGTAACTGCTTTGCTCTCTCCATGTGCATATTCAATTAGTTAAACATTCACTGGGTGTAAACCACCTGCCAGATATCATGCCAGGGACCAAGGGACAATGGAAAAAGGCTACGGGCTCTACCTTTGAAGACTCATGGGGGAAAGAGACAGGCAGGCAGGTACCCTGTGGCACTAGCCACCAACTCTGTAAGGTGAAGGCGGAAAAGGGGGAGAGGGACCCAGAAAAATGAATAAGGGCCAGACTGTGACGGTCCTTGCATGTCACATTACGTGATTTGATTTTTGTCATCCAACGATCTTTGTTTTTGGAAGAGATCAGAGGAAAAAGAGACCAGAGGCAGAAAAACTAACCAGAAGCCTGTTTTAAGAGTTTTGATGAGGGATGACGAAAATCTGAACTCTGGCCCTGATCTCTTCCCTCCCTGGAATTGATATCATGACACATTTTTGGAATTAAGTAAATGCGGCCTTGTACTGAACTCTTAAAACAGACTTGATTACTGCTCTTGTCCCACTGTATCAAAATGGATGATTTCCTTATTTTTCTTTCCCAGAGAGACGGTGGCTTGTCTCCGTACAACTACATCTACCACAATTCCCACTACACATGACATGCTCACTACATCTTTATTAAATCAATAAATATCCTGCTATCTCCATGTTAGGTGTTACCTGCCCAATCTCCATGTTAGGTGTTACCTGCCCAACTGGATACAAATCCTTGAAAACAGAGAAACTATGCTTATTCTTTATTGATATTGTTTAGCATAGCGATGAACACACAGTAGGTTCTCAACTCATAGCCGATGAATGAAATGTGACTGGAAAATTGGGCAGAGGGTCAGATTTTTCAGTGTCAGCTCTTTCTTTCTCTCTTTCTTTCTCTCTTTCTTTCTCTCTTTCTTTCTCTCTTTCTTTCTCTCTTTCTTTCTCTCTTTCTTTCTTTCAACATTGTTTATTTTGGAGAGACAGAGCACAAGTCGGGGAGTGGGAGGAGAGAGAGGGAGACAGAGAATCCGAAGCAGGCTCCAGGCTCCCAGCTGTCAGCACAGAGTCTGATACGGAGCCCAAACTCACAAACTGTGAGGTCATGACCTGAGCTGAAGACGGACACTTAACCTACTGAGCCACCCAGGTGCCCCAACTCTCACTTTCTGGAGTCAAGTGGAAAGCCAGAAAGAACTGGCTTCGGACATCACTGACTCCCTGGGCCATCACCGGCACTCACCCAAGAACCATCGTAACTCCCCCCGGTTGAGACACTGGTCCTACCTCGCCAATGGCGGAGATCTTACTGAGGCAGCTCTTCATGGCTGTGCTGTCATTCTCAAGCATTCCTTCTTCCCCCAGGAAGGCCAGATAGGTGAGGGTTTCCTTGCCAAACTGTTTGCAGGCCTCGGTCAGTGCTGGAGACGTAAGACAACCAAAACTTTTGAGTCCTCCGCTCCCCCTGCTTATAAGACTGCCCCCCCCCCCCCCCCCCCCCCACCCCCGGTACTCACAGTCAGCAGGCTCCGGTGGGGCTCGAAGGCAGGTGGTGCTAACATTAGCCATGGTGTCACTGGTTAGGTGGGCCAGGAGGGTTACCGAGCGGAGAAGCTCACTGATATCTGCCAGGAGTGTAAAGGAGGTTTCTCAGCACTATTCACGAGCCGTTACCGCCCTACCTCCTTCCCTGCTTGACAAGTTATATGCACCCCTTTCTTGGAGCATAGGGCCTGGTTGTTATTTCCGCAGGCAAGCGTTTCTGAACTCTGCCCAGCCGTCACTAGCAACAGACCCCATCCTTCGCCTTTCTTACCTTCCGGGCAGGCCAGATACTGGCTCCAGCTTTTTTCCAGTTGCTCAATGCAGCTGGAAACAGACTTGACCTTGGAAAGAAGGTGATCTGTGAGAGGGGAGACAGGGCAGAGTCAGAGCCACTGGTATTGGAGTCACTTTCTCCCCGTGAGGTCAAGCCACCCAGTGGATGAGCCTGCCTAGCAAGTGGCCTCAGCCCTGCGGGGGGGTGCCCTAAGATGGGGGGTGGGGGCGGAGATGGTTGACTCTGCAGGTACACGACTCTCTTAATGCAGCTTCAAAAGCTGTTCTTCTGAGCCCATCTGGTCCCTGAGCCAAGAACCAGGGCAACCACGGCAGCAGCCGAGAATCAGCCTCTCACTTCTCATTACTGCCGCCAAATCAAATCCAGGCCTTCCTGTTAAGTCTTTCAAGGCCCTTGGACTCTCATCACTCTTGAGCCCAGACCCCTGGCTCCGTGAGGCGAATCTAGGCTCATGCTGTGCACGCAACACAGCCGTCCCCACTCTGTGCCTCTGTGCCCTGGCCCACAGAGACCGTGTCCCGTAGGAGTTAATACGTGGGCGCTCAGGTCACACTGCATCGGTGTGGCTCCCGGCCCCACCACCACTGGCTATGCTCTCAGGCCGTCCATGCCAGCTTCCTCATCTGAAAACGGAGTAACGGCACCACCTCACGGCGCCATCGTGAGGATTCGCTGGGCCGAGGTATGTGAAGCGCTTACAATGCCCACGTTTCTGCCCCTCCACTGGCTCAAGTCTGTCCTCTTCTGTCAAACCCCCGGCTCATGAAGTCTCTTCTCAGAACCTGCCCATGGCTGCCCCATTTCCTGGCATTTCCCCGGTTGGCGGGGCACTGTGTGCTCCTTCATTCGGGGCTGCTGTAATGGAAGCCATTACAGATGGCTTCCCTGGCAAATAAGATAGGACAGTCCTGGCTGTACACGTCACCGAATGGAGACGTTTCTATTCGACAATGAAAATCAACTATCAGCTGTTCCCTTCCATCCGCCTTTGTTTTCAGTGGGTCCTCTCGTTACTTTGCCAGCAACTACACATGACGTCACCAATGTCCTGGGCCTGGATGTTCTGCTACCTACTGTGCATGAAGGCCCTCCTCTCCTTTTTACATCTTTTTTTTTTTATGTTTATTTTGGGGGGGGGGCGGTGGATACAAAGCGGGCTCTGTGCTGACAGCAGAGAACCTGATGTGGGGCTCGAACTCACAAACCGTGAGATCATGACCTGAGCCGAAGTCGGATGCTTAACCAACTGAGCCACCCAGGCGCCCCTGGCCCTCCTCTCATCCGGTGGGCTTCTCCAGTTCCGACTGCTGCCCAATCAGCATGCCCTTAGGACTCTTGACCTTGCAGAGGTCAAGCCTTCCTCCGTTCATAGCCTGTGACTGCATGGGTATTCTCATTGTTTCTGCCCCGCCATACATCATGGTGCTCCCCGTGTGGGCTTGAAGCTCCTGAGCAACCACCTCTTCATTCAGACCACGTTTTTCTGTTCAGAGACGCAGGGCCGTCTGCTCCTCCACCCCCTGACGCTTAGAGTCGTCATCAGGGCTCTGCTCCCGGGGAGAGTTTTGTTAGCGTGACCCACTGCACAGAGCTGTCCTTATCACAACTGGGGGCTTCAGAAAGTACTACCACTGAGGCCCTGGGCCACACAGCTTCCGGCTGAACTGATCTTAGAGTGGGGACTGGTCATCACCAGGCGACTCTGACAGGCAGCAGGCCGAGGACCCCCGCTCTCAGTGTCGCTGGGGTTCAATGTCAACACCCAACGGCAACGGGCTTTAAGGATTCACGTGTGCAACCAGGACAGGGGGACGTACCTGCAGATCCGGCACAGCTGATCAGAGGGGGCTCCTCCAGCTGCCGCAGGGCCTCTTGTATCACCCACTCCGCAGCCTTCCTGGTCTCCACCAGAAGCATTTTGCGTTGGTCCTTGGCGAGCTGGCACACTGATTCCTAGAAATGGTCCAGGGAGGTGAGAATCTGACACAGACCCCGTCATGAGCCTTCGAACAGCAGCCATCTTGATGCAGCTGGGATTCCGGCATCTTAACTCAAGTTGTGGCTAACGAGGCCCAAGCCAGTTCGCCTGCCACAGAGAACGACCCTTTCCCTTGGTCCACAGGCGTGCGCAGGGGTGCAACACAGGAAGTTATGGGGATGGACCTCCTGTAACCCATTCTCTGTGCCTGGGGGGAGTACCACGCACAGTGCTTCTCTTGTGAAGACAGGGAGCTTCACAAGATGGGGGTGATGCAGAGCACGCCGGTGTGCAGTGCTGTGCCCACAGAATGCCTTCACGATCAGCCCAGAGGCCCCAGACGGTTTTCACAGACCGTCCCCAGCTCCCTGCCTCCACGGATACATCACCGAGGCCCACGGCTCGGACCCGGGCACCCAGCAGGCGTCTGTTACTTGCCTGTGTGCTGGATAGTTCCCGCTGGGCGAGTTCCAGCTGTTCCTGAAGAGCAGATAATTCCTCCTCCCGGAGGGCCACAGCGTGCACCAAGCCGCTCCGCTCCTTCTCTAGCTCCTCGAGCTGTGCCGCCCATTTGGCTTCTGCCTGCAATGTCGGCCACGTGGGAAGAGGGAGAATCAAACTGTCCGCTTCCCAGGAGTCCAGACCCACCAGCAGGCCACACGGAACAGCAGGTGGTATCTCTAAGCCGCCACCTTCACCCTCCCCAATCACACACAGAGCACGGCTGGGACCAGCTTGGCCAGCTGCTGGATGGAGCTGGCCGCCGGGTGACGGCAGTGCCCAAGCCAGAGGGGAAAAAATAAGGGAGAGAAGGGAGGTGATGCTCGCCTGGGCAGAAGTTTCCAGGCTGCTTTGGACAATCTGGAGTTCCTGTTTGCTGGTGGCAAGTTCTTGCTTCAAGTTGTCCAGTACTTCGGTCTGTTCTTGAGTCTGAAAGAGAAGAAACGCAGGGGCACTCTGATCAAGGTGCTGGTTGCCAGGGATAAACACCTGTAAAAATCCCCAAGCTACTGGGGTGCCTGGCTGGCTCGGTAGATAGAGCATGCAACTCTTAATCTCTGGGTGGTGAGTTGGAGGTCCACGTTGGGCGTAGGGATTCCTTAAAAACAGAATCTCAAAAACAAGCCCCAAGCTATCAATGGGAGATTTGTGTGCTCTGTTGGAGGCAAGATTGGATGCGCCCAAAAGTGGGCGGGAGGAGGTGGGAACCCAGAGTATAGTGACGAGTCTTCTGGCTAAGTGGAATATCAAAGAGGGGAGTTTTAGGGACATTTCCTAAATGTCACGCTTCGGCTTATGATACTAATTAAAGTAGAATTGGTTCTTTTTTCTTACACATAGAAGGTGTTCTTTCTTATTATTTAAATAGAAGCATTACTGATACAGAACCGGATTGTTAATTCAGCCACCCCAACGCCTGATATGTTGCTGCATCTTACCATCTGGAAACAATTCCCTTCTTTAAAAATTTCTTTTCTGAGTGGTATTTTCTGAAGAGCCCGTTGCAACCCATGAGAATTTACAGCTAACATTTTATTTATTTATTTATTTTAGAATATTTTTTTTCAACGTTTTTATTTATTTTTGGGACAGAGAGAGACAGAGCATGAACGGGGAGGGGCAGAGAGAGAGGGAGACACAGAATCGGAAACAGGCTCCAGGCTC